GGGCCAGATGGCTTCCCAGGGGAATTCTACCAGACATTTAAAGAAGATTTAATACCTATTCTCAAACTGTTCCAAAAAAATAGAAATGGAAGGAAAGCTTCCAAACTCATTCTATGAAGCCAGCATTACCTTGATTCCAAAACCAAAGACCCCACTAAAAAGAATTATAGGCCAATATCCCTGATGAACCTGGGTGCAAAAATTCTCAACAAGATACCAGCAAAGTGAATTCAACAGTACATTAAAAGAATTATTCACCATGATCAAGTAGGATTTATTCCTGGGCTGCAGGGCTGGTTCCATATTCACAAATCAGTCAATGTTATATACCACATTAATAAAAGAATAGATAAGAACCATATGATCCTGTCAATAGATGGAGAAAAAGCATCTGAAAAATACAGCATCCGTTCTTGACAAAAACCCTCAACAAAGTAGGGACAGATGGAAAATACCTCAACATCATCAAGACCATATATGAAAGACACACAGCTAATATCTTCCTTAACAGGGAAAGACTGAGAGCATTTCCCTTATGGTTAGGAACAAAGCATTTCCCTTATGGTTAGGAACAAAATAAAGATGCCCACTCTCACCACTACTATTTAAGACTGGAAGTCTTAGCCTTAGCAGTCAGGCAACAAAAAGAAATAAAGGGCATACAAATTGGCAAGGAAAAAGTCAAACTTTCAGTATTTGCAGACGACACGATACTCTATGTGGAAAACCCAAAAGACTCCACCAAAGAATTGCTACAACTAATGCATGAATTCAGCAAAGTCGCAGGATATAAAAACAATGTTCGGAAATCTGGTGCATTTCGAACAATAATGAAGCAGCAGAAAAAGATATCAAGGAATTGATTCCATTTATAATCGCACCAAAAACAATAAGATACCTAGGAATAAACCTAATTAAAGAGGTAAAAGATCTGTATTCTGAAAACTACAGAAGACATGAAAGAAGTTGAAGAGGACACAACGAAATGGAAAAACATTCCTTGCTCATGGATTGGAAGAACAAACATTGTTGAAATGTCTATACTGCCCAAAGCAATCTACACACTTAATGGAATCCCTATCAAAATATCACCAGCATTCTTCTCAGAGCTAAAACAATCTTAAAATTTGTACAGAACCACAACAGACCCCAAATAGCCAAAGCAATCCTGAAAAAGAAAAACAAAACTGGAGGAATCACAAGTCTGGATTTCAAGCTATATTACAAAGCTGAGGTCATCAAGACAGTATGGTATTGGCACAAAAACAGACATATAGATCAATGGAACAGAATAGACAACCCAGAAATTGACCCACAACTATATGGTCAACAAATCTTTGACAAAGCAGGAAAGACTATCCAACGGAAAAAAGGTCTCTTCAACAAATGGTGTTGGGAAAACTGGATGGCAACATGCAGAAAAATTGGAACACTTTCTTACACCAGACACATTTAAAATGTATGAAAGAGCTAAATGTGAGACAGGAAACCATCAAAATCCTACAGAACACAGGTAGCAACCTCTTTAACCTCTGCTAGAGCAACTTTTTAGTGCACATGTTGCCAAAGGCAAGGGAAACAAAAGCAAACATGAACTACTGGGACCTCATCAAGATCTTCTCTGCACAGAGAAGGAGACAATCAACAAAACTCAAAGACAGCCTACACAATGGGAAAAGATATTTGTAAATGGCATATATGATGGTTAGTATCCAAAATCTATAAAGAACTTATCAAATTCAACACCCAAAAACAACCAACCAGTAAAGAAATGGGCAGACGTCATGAATAGACATTTTTCCAAAGAAGATATCCAGATGGCCAACAGACACATGAAAAGATGCTGAACATCACTCATTATCAGGGAAATACAAATCAAAACCACAATGAGATACCACCTGGCACCTGTCAGAGTGGCTAAAATTAACACAAGAGACAACAGGTGTTAGTGAGGATGCAGTGAAAGAGGAACCCTCTTGCACTGTTGATGGGAACACAAACTGGTGCAGCCACTCTGGAGAACAGTATGGAGGTTCCTCAAATAGTTAAAAATAGAATTACCCTATGATCCAGGAATTGCACTAGGTATTTACCTAAAGGATACAAAAATACAGATTGAAAGGGGTACATGCACCCTGATGTTTATAGCAGCATTATCAACAATAGCCAAACTATGGAGAGAGCCCACATGTCCATCAACTGATGAGTGGATAAAAAAGATGTGGTGTGTATACACATACACACATACACACACACACACACACACACACACACACACACACACACACACACACACGAGTATCAGGCATCAAAAAGAATGAAATCTTGCCATTTGTAATGACATGAAGCTACATTCACGGAGCTAGAATGTATTATACTAAGCAAACTAAGTCAATCAGCAAAGTAAGTCAAATACCGTAATTTCATTCATATGTGGAATTTAAGAAACAAAACAGGTGAATATATGGGAAGACAGGGAGGAGAAAAGAGGGAATCAAATCATAAGAGACTCTTAACCATAGAGAACAAACAGAGTTGATGGAGGGAGGTGGGTGGGAGATGGGCTAGATGGGTGATGGGTACTAAAGACAGCACTTGTGATGAGCACTGGGTGTTATAAGTAAGTAATGAATTACTGAATTCTATTCCTGAAACCAATATTGCACTGTATATTAACTAAGATTTGAATTAGAAAAAAGAAAAATAAAATATAAGGAAACACTTTTTTTCTCTCTTTTATGTAGAAGTCTGAAATATTCCAAGTTTCATAATTATATTGTAGTTCCAAGCACATCAGTATCCAGTGTGCACTCCTTTATACAAAAACAGCTTTTCTTCTGCTGTTACCTGTTGAGTCACCTTGTAGAAAGATCAAAGTGTGCCTAACACTGACGAACACTGCTTAAAATTCAACTATGGCTATGGATGGGGCCTCTTTATTAGTTTGAAAAGGATCATTTTTTTTTTATTTTTATCACTGTTGCTTAGAAAGACCATATATTGATCTGTTGCATATTAAATAGAATATATAGATTAAAGGCACAAATTGCAATATATTATAAGAAGACTATTCTCCAATGACCCAGCCTTTCTAATAAAAATGTCCTTAAATGTTTCTCCCCAGGACAAGGAGGACTACAGGGAGATGAAGCATGCTTACTGAAGTCTCTGTTACAGTCACAGGACCTAAAAACAGCTCAGCTTTGCTATAAACATCCAGCAGGTAGACAAGACACTTGGGTATAGATAAAGGTTTTGTGAAACTGCTTTCTGAGGCTCAAGTGAGCTCAGGAAAAAAAACCCAAAAAACTGTGCAGTGTCACCACCATGGAGCTGATGCCCTTCAAGGAGGTTTCCCTATCACAAAATCCACCACACTCAGAGCAGAAATGATCCATATATTACCTTCAACTGTTCTAAGGCAAAAGATGAACCATCTTGCTGTAAATTTTCAATAATCTGTTCCACAGTATTGGCTGAGAAGCAACTATAAAAAAGGAAACACATGATTTCACCAATCTGCAAGCAATTTCTTCTTTCCAAAATAGCAATGAATATAAACACAGGCTTTCCCCAAACTGCATTTCAATAATGAAAAAATTTCCAAGATACTTTACAGGATGATGAAATAAAACACTGCTTCTCTGGGTATTTGCAGTCTGCTTTCATTAATTCAACACAAAGCCAAATTTTTCTTTTTTTTGCTTTCTTGCGTCTATTATATGTAAATAAATATTGTAACTGTGAAAAACTGATGCTTCTAAAATTAGAGGTAGATGTCTTATTTTCCAGTAATTTTCCTCCTCTTATGTTCCTTAAGCCAGTCTGTCAATCTCTCAAATCACTGCACAAAAAAATTCTTGGCTGATCAGCTTCATAAGAACTCTGTAAAAAATGACTTTACAAAAATAAAAGATAATTCAATTGTTATTTTCTAGCCTCTTCCCCATTAAAAAAAGATGTTTTGCACTAAAATGAATCAGCATGATAAAGTATATGGATTTAATCCCTCTGAAAGAGTAAGCAAGAAGCTACTTTAAAAAGTGAAAATAAAAGCACTATGCTATCTAATCTCAGAATTCAGTGCATTTCCAAACACAATGTAATAATGTTAGCAAATTCAATTTAATACAGTCCTTCCAAAAGAACAAATATACTAAGACCTCTCTTTAAGTACCTGTTTATTTTGTCCATGTGTTCCTCAAGTATAAAAGACTTGTCTTGATCAATCTTGGACTGTTTGGGAAAAAAAAATCTCATAATTAACTTGAAGTAACCCAAATCTTCTAAAAGTCCTTTAAAATGTCATCAAATTTAATAATACACTTTGAGTCAAATTATCACTTTCAGTCAAATTATATCCAACAAGCTCATAAATAACTAAAAATCCAGACTGTATTTTTCCAGAGTAGGCCTTAAAAGTGTGAACGGCAAAATATGTTCTTGTATTTTTATGTAGAATTCATTATATATGCTACATCATTAAAATATGTCAATGAATTAAGCATTTTAAGGGACCTGAGAAATCATCCTGTCCAAATTTCCATTTGGTATGGAAATTCCTACAACATGACTGTTATCTCTGTAGCGCTGACCTCCAGGGACAGAAAACAGTACCTCAGGAAGGAACTCACAAATGATTGAACAATTAGGATTTTTTTTTTTTTATTCTGGACCAAACTAGTCCTTTCCTGTTTATAGTGCTAGTTAATCCTACTTCCACCTCTCTTCTCACACAGAACAGTTTTGTGTTCCCTCACAAACCAGGTCCAGTCCTTCTACATTAGCTACAGGTATGACTGGGTCATAGCAAAGTATAGCAGGGCTCCACATATCCTTGTTTGTTCTGGGTACAACACTTTTACTAATAAGACTAAGCCTGAGTTAGTTTTCAGGCAGTTCTATTATGCTGCTATTTTTTTTTAAACCAGTCCCATTGTAGGCTACATTTCTCCCGTGCTATACTTTATAAATTTGGTACTTTGGATGGAAATTCAAAATTTTCACTTATCTCTATTGTGATCCTGTGATTTAAAATAAGAAATACAAGGGCAACCAGCTGGCTCAGTCAGTAGAGCATGTGACTCTTGATTTTGGAGTTGTGGGTTTGAGCCCTAACTTGGAGGTAGAGACTACTTAAAAATAAAATCTTAAAAAAATATAAAAAAATACGTATTTAGTCTTTGCCCATACATTTGTTCTTTGTTGCTGGCTCTTAGCTCCCCCAAACCTTGGAATTTCTCTAAAAAGGGCATCGTTTTGTAGTATTTGGTCTTTTGTCCTGGGTTCCTAAAATAAAGGTGAAATGGGTCTTTTGTTATTCATAACAAGCCCCTTCCAACCACACTAGAGTTCAAGTTAATGAGGGGACTTTTGGAAAAGAAAGGGCTGACTTCCAGGGAAACCAACCAGTGATTAGAGGTTGAGACTGAAAGTCCCTCCCCCACACTAGTACCACCTCCCCACTTCCCTCCATCTCCAGTGAGGGGAAAGAGGTTGTGGACTGAGTTCAGTCACCAATGGCCAATAGTTTAATCAACAGTGAGTACGTAATAAAGCCTCCATAAAAATCCAATAGGATGGAGAGCTTCCAGGTTAGTGAACACATCTCCAAGTGGGCAGAGTGGTACACCCCAACCTCACTGGGACAGAAGCTCCTGGGCTTGAGACCCTTCTAGACCTTGCCCTGTGTACCATTTACTGGACTATTCATTCGTATCTTTTACTGTATCCTTTATAATAAACCAAAAACACTGTTTCCCTGAGTTCTATGAGAAATTCTGGCAAATTATCAAACCCAAGGAAGGGGTCATGAGAACCCCAATTTATGGCCAACCAGTCAGAAGTGACAAGTTGGGACTTGTGACTGGCATCTGAAATGGGGTCGGTTTTGTGGGACTGAGACATTAGGGTGTGGTATCTGATGCTAACTCCAGGTAGACAGCATTAGGATTAAAACTGACTACTGGACATCCATCTGGTGTTGCAGAGAATTGCTTGATGTGTGCACACACATTTGGTGTCAAAAGTGTTATGAGTGTGGTAGTAGTGGGAGAGTAAAGGAAAACACAGGGAGTGATTTTTTAATCCATATTCTTTCACCTAATTTTTTTTCTTAGTTTCAAGTCAATTTGATCAAAATGCTGTCAACAGTCTCATCCAATTCACTGAGAAAAATTCTAAAAAACTGAAAAAGGCCAACATGACTTTATTTATAGACTAATACCCTCAAATTTAACAGAACTGTTTGATAAGGCCCTTCAACTCCCACACACTATAATTCATGCTATATTTACCCAACATGAGAGACTGTCAAATGCTTTGACAAAAATCTGGTGAAATCCTCATGTGCTCTGTGTTCACAGTCATAGCACTGAACATTCAGGGGCTCTGTGAATCCATATTCATGTTCTTGAGTTCTGGATAAAATTCTTATACTATTTTTCTAAAGATTTCCTCCCCTCTCACTTCTCTGTTATGAATTCCTAATAATAAGATATTAGACCTCCTAGAATAATACCTCTAATCTTCCTTTCTCTTCATTTTCCATGTTATTAACCTTTCTGTCTTGTTACAGTTTTCTTCCACCTTCAATTTTAATCTAATCTGTTGTGGGGTTTTTCCCTTTTGTTAATCACACTTCTCTTTTATTCTTTGACTACTTTATTTTATTGCTTTTATTTTTAATTTTTATTTTTGAGAGAGAGAGAGACAGAGCATGAGTGGGGGAGCGGCAGAGAGTGGGAGACGAAGAATCTGAAGCAGGCCCCAGGCTCTGAGCTGTCAGCACAGAGCCTAATGTGGGGCTCGAACTCTCAAACCACAAGATCATGACCTGCTCAATCAACTGAGACACCCAGAAGTCCCTGAATACTTTACTTTATAACTTCTGTTCTTATTTCACAGATGAAATATTTTCCTCTTATCAGAACCATAAAAGTTTTAACAGTTATAGTTTTTCTTCCTTTCCTTCCTCCCTCTTTCTCTTTCTCCTCCCTGCATTGTCTGCTTGTTTCAAGTGCCTTCTTTGTTTTTACACTTAGCATAAAAAATTTTAGTGTGAAGTATTACAATTAAATAGCTTTATGTGTAAAGTCAATCGTAGTTATAGGATTATCAATTGTCGGAAGCATTACAGATATCAGGCAAAGACCTGGATGTTTCCTGGAGGCGAAGGGGGGGGGTGGTGGGGACAGTCCTCAAGTGGCAACATCTATAGTTTTTTTTCTTTTTCTTCAAATGTACTGCTTGGAAGTGGGATGGTGCCATTGACCGAATGTTTGTGTCACCCCAAAATTCATGCTGAAACTTTAATCCCCAAAGTGATGGTATTTGGAGATGGTGCCTTTGGGAGATAATTAGGTCAAGAGGGTGGAGCCCTCATGATGGGATTAGGATCCTTATAAGAAGAGACCTGAGAGAGTTCACGTTGCTGTGTAAGGACACAGCAAGAAGGAGGTCTTCTGCAAACCAGGAAGAGGGTCCTCACCAAGAATTTAACTGACACCAAATCTTTGGAATTTCCATCCTCCAGAACTGTGAGAAATAAGTTTCTATTGTTTAAGCCATCAAACTTAATGGTGTTTTTATTATAGCTGCCCAAACTAAGATAGAGGATATTTAATAGTCTGGAAGCTAACTAGAAGAAGAGGCTAGGGGTATTCCTATTCACTATGTTATGCCTCTTTTTTTTTTTTTTTTTTTTTTTTGGAAGAACCTGCTCCTTTCCCTCAGTCAGCAAGGTCTGTTTGATTTGATCTAAGGAGTAAATTTCCAATCTTCCTTCAGTCAGGCTATGAAAGGTTAGTTGCTGCTACAGGAGGAAGACTTGTGGAGGCCTAACTGCTCCTTATAAAAATTTGAAGGGATCCTCTTGTTTTTTCTGTCCATCTCCACACCCCAGTCTTCAGAGGACCCTGGTACCTTACAGAGCATACACAGCAAGAACTGGCTTGCTTCTTACTGCCTTCCCCCACTGAAAGATAAGACTTCAGTGTTCTCAAATCTAAAGTAGCTGCCCCCTAGGGGCGCCTGGGTGGCTCAAGTCAGTTAAGCGTCTGACTTCAGCCTGGTCGATTGTTCAGAGTTCGAGGCCCCTGACGGGCTCTGTCCTGACAGCTCAGAGCCTGGAGCCTGTTTCAGATTCTGTGTCTCCCTCTCTCTCTGCCCCTCCCCCGTCCACGTTCTCTGTCTCAAAAATAAATAAATGTTAAATAAATAAATAAATTTAAAGTAGCTGCCCTCATCCTTCTGTTTTCAGCCTTCCAAAATATTGACATCTCATGCCTGCCACTTTCTCCTTTTCTGTTCTTTGTGGATTTGCACCTTTTTTATTCCTTCATTACAATTAAGTGGGGTTTTAGAAGGGAGCATGTATTCAACCCATCAAGTTTAATAAAAAGTCATATAACATTTTTAGAGAGTTTTGGCTCTTAAAAGAAAGTTAAATAACATAAGTAAGGAATTACAAGTGACACTGCGATATATTTTATTATTATATTTAGATATGTACCAGAGTTTCACTTTAGCAGCTCAACAGGGTCAACACTGAACCATCCATTACAGACATGTCACAGTGTACTGTAAAAAGCCCTTGCAAGGGCCAATCACAAGGTTATGCACTGATATTCACCAGCAATGAGAAGATAAGCTGTGCAGTTGTGCAGCAAAGAAGTTGTCTTCTCAGATGACTATCCTAACAATTGTGAAGCAGTGATCCTTCCATCAAGCTTTAAAGAAAATTAATCTCAGCATATTTATATCCACCAACTGCTAATTGTTCAATCACTCCCTCTTCCCCATGAATTAAAATCTGAAGTTAGAATACTGAAAGATTACCTTTGTATGGTAAGCTTCTAAGACATCCGCAATATTTTCTTTTGAAGGTGATTTTAGGGCTATCAAATCTTCTTCTAACATGCCCAACTAAAAGAGGAAAAAAAAAAGAAAGAAAACACTTGAAACCCAAAAGAAACACTTTTTTTTTTTAGAAACCTTATATTCTTTTTAAAAATACTTGTCTTAAAATTATGATGTGCTCTCTTCAGCTGAATCAGTGAAGGAAACTTTCTCTGAAGTTGAATGCACACACATTCCCACACAGCACATACCTTGCAAGGAACTGGATAAAGATGGAAGAAAATAAAGAGGAGAAAGAGAGACATTCATCTTTGTTTCTCTCTGGCTATTAGACACTTGAAATGTAGTATTGCAACCAAAGATCTGAATTACAAATTTTAACTAAAATTGCCACATGTGACTAATGGCTACTATAGTCAATGCACAGCTATACCATACAGCCACACTTAACTCTCCATCTATATCCCTCACATACCTGTTCTAAGCTCAACAAATGGGACTTTTTATTGTTTCCAAAACATACCAAATGCTTTCCTGCCCATGAGCTTGCTCATTACATATTTTCTCTATCCAGAATGCCTTTCCTGACAAAACTCATCTTAAGTTTTAACTGAACTGCAACCTCTGTGGGAAAACTTCCAGTCCCTTCTTATAAGTAAGTTTTCCCTCCTTTCAATCCACTGAGTACTTTCTCTGTATGACAGAGAAGGGAATAGGTTGTGCATTAGCACTGTCTCCCATCCTTAACTAAATTCCGCTCTATTCAAGATTGTCCCTCCAGAAGAGATAATGGACTCCTATGTTTGCTTCCTATTACACCTAAAGAGAAGAATGGGACCGCCCCCTACTCAATGTGACTGTGGATGACCAAAACATGGAGAAAGATCTGAAACTTCAAGCAAATGTGATAGAAGGCCCTCCTAACAGTGTACAGGAAACAATTTTCAACTTTGTGTACTTTATTTTTTTTTTTTCTTAATGTTTATTTATTTTTGAGAGAGACAGAGACAGAATGCGAGTGGGTTAGGGGCAGAGAGAGAGGGAGACACAGAATCCGAAGCACACTCCAGGCTCTGAGCTGTCAGCACAGAGCCCGACGCAGGGCTCAAACTCACGGACTGCGAGATCATGACCTGAGCCAAAGTTGGACACTCAACTGACTGAGCCACCCAGATGCCCCTGTACTTTGTACTTTTTTATAATATTCCTTCCCCTATCCCAAAACATCTCCTTCAAGATCAGATATTCATTTAGAGACCTATGTGCATCCTGGAAAGCTAAGTTCACCCCATAGTTCCAGAAATGGAACACATTAATGGAGCACATTAGCAAGGTGGGCTAGTTGATACAGGCTAACCCACTTTCGGGTTCAAGGGTGATATAAGCCAGTTCAATGAGAGTGAGCTAAGCCAGTTGAAGCAGAATAAATCCCAAATCTCTTACTGGGAATTCTGAGGCAAAACCCCATTGAATTGGATTTTCTCTTACATTTACCACAAAGAGATTTAACTACTATGGTAGAAACTGCCATCCCCATTTGGAAATGAGAAAACTGGGTGATAAAGAAGCTAAATTCAACCTAGGATTTAAACTCAAGCTGTCTGTCTGCAGTTCTTTCCCACTATGCTATACTGTGCTAAGAAAATTGGCCACATTGTTAAAAAGAAGAGACAGATAAGCAACATGTGTCCCTTGCAACAGATACCCTTTAGAAAAGTTTTTAAGACTATTTTACAAATGGAACCCTTAAATGCACTGGTAAGGAAATTCACAATTGAGAAGACCTTTCAAAAATGTTTTTATAAAAGCCTATCTTTTTATATATAAATTTAAATCTTTATATATTAGGTTTTCTTAAAGAAGGTGTGGGGTTTTTTTGACCAAAGTGTAAATATTCATTAAAAATTAGGCACTGAAGGTGTCAGGCAAAACAGCCCTGAATCCAGATATAATTCTCTCCATTTTGCACATAAGGAAACATGATTGGAGAGCTTAAATACTATCTCAAAGGTCACACAGCTTTAAGCGGCAGATTCTGGATTCAGACCCATGTCTAACCAAAAGCCTGTGATCTCAACCACTCATAATGCCTCCATGTACAATAGGAATTATTCTAACAACACAAAATGCAATCATCCAAGCAATTACCTTTTCAGAATCCACAAAATGTGTCGCAATTCCTGCTGCATACACATCTCTTCCTTTCAGTCTGAATCCTGTTAATGCAAGGAAGTAACCAAGTTTTCCTTGAAGTCGTGGCAAGAAATAACCTCCACCCACATCAGGGAAGAGTCCTGTAATAAAATAATGGAAAGAGATATCGACTCAAATGAAAAAAAAGAATGTAACTCTTTGAGATCAGATGGCCATCTCTCTCCGGAATTTGAATCTATACTAAAAATATTACTAAACTAAGTACTATCCAATGCAATCAAAATCACAAAAGACTTGCTATTAAATTGTGCTAACTTGAGGTTTTTTTCAAAATTTTCACATCTTACTGCCATACAAGTCAAAGTATTTGACAGCATAATTTTCTATATATAAGTAGTACTCAATAAATACTACCTAAAGTTTCCTATTTTTGATCATCTCTGAAATAGTAAAAACCGAAAGAATACTTTCTTTCCAAATGATAAGCAAAGAAAAAATATGCATAATCCAATATTATGTGAAAATTCATTATCATTTAAGTCATAGTCTATTCCATTAGTCAATGATATAATATTCAAGATATTTAAAGTGATGCCATAACCTTTAGTCCTACGAAGAACAAGTTTACACCTAACAAAATCACTTGCATTAACTCTTTTCTTAGCCATCTTTTTTTTAATTCCCTTATTAAAAATTCCTTATTAAAAATGACTGAAAGTAGCATATGCAAATATTTGCCAGTACTTTTTGGTATTTAAGAGCTCCTTAAATAACTGTGACCCTCTTGTTTTATAATCCATGTATCTATTCTAAGATTGCTTCATTTATTCAAGTTGAGACTAGAACACAGGCATTCAAATTCTTCCCAATCCTACTTGACAAAAAAGTTCTTAGACTTGAAAGAATTACCATTCTACTCTAAATATCTCTTAGCATCTCAAATAAAAAAGGTCTAAAAGGGAATTCATGAGTCCCCCCAATTGCCATCATCTCCCTTCCAATATCACTCACCTCAATAAAGCAAGCACACAGCCATCCAGCCTGGACACCTTCTTCTCATAACCACCCCTTTAGCACCCACCAGTGACTATGACCTATTGATTCCTCCTCCAGAAAGTTCTCCCTACAATGAATGGCCAGAGTGATTTTTTTAAAATTTTTTAATGTTTATTTATTTTTGAGAGAGAGAGAGAGAGAGAGAGAGAGAGAGAGAGAGAGAGAGAGACACAGAGTGCAAGCAGGGAAGGGGCAGAGAGAGAGGGAGACACAGAATCTGAAACAGGCTCCAGGCTCTGAGCTGTCAGCACAGAGCCTGATGTGGGGCCCGAACCCACAACTGTGAGATCATGACCTGAGCTGAAGTCAGATGCCCAACTAACACCCAGGCACCCCACCAGAGTGATCTTTTTAATTACACAAATCTTGATCATGTTTTGCCTTCTACTGCTTAAAACTCTTCCATAACTCTTCCAGAAAGTCTATCCCTCTTAGATTAAAGCTAACACTTTCAGGGGCGCCTGGGTGGCGCAGTCGGTTAAGCGTCCGACTTCAGCCAGGTCACGATCTCGCGGTCCGTGAGTTCGAGCCCCGCGTCAGGCTCTGGGCTGATGGCTCGGAGCCTGGAGCCTGTTTCCGATTCTGTGTCTCCCTCTCTCTCTGCCCCTCCCCTGTTCATGCTCTGTCTCTCTCTGTCCCAAAAATAAATAAAAACGTTGAAAAAAAAA